TTTTAATAGAGACAGGATTTCACTATGTTGGTCAGGCTGGTGGTCTAAAACTCCTGACCTCAAGTGATCCACCTGCCTCGGCCTCCCAAAATGCTGGGATTATAGGCACGAACCACCACATCCGGCCTATTTCTGCTTTCTTTGCATTTGATTTCTGTTCTTTTTCTTGATTCTTGAAGTGAGTTTTTTGCTGGAGGTACTGGCTTTCCTTACTGCATTATACCATTGTTAAAGAAAGCAATTATATACTTTAAAAGGAGTTCTGTTCTTCTTTCCCCTTCCCTCCCCTCCTTCTTTTTCTCTTCTCTTTTGAGATAGGGTCTTACTCTGTCACCTAGACTGAAGTGCCGTGGCGTGGTCATAGCTTACTGCAGCCTTGAACTCCTGGGCTCAAGTGATTCTCCCACCCAACCTCCCAACTAGCTGGGACTGCAGACACGTACCACCATGCTTAGTGAATTTTTTTTTTTTTTTTTTTAAAGAGATCAGATCTTGCTCTGTTGCCCAGACTGGTTTGAACTCCTGGCTTCAAGCAGTCCTCCCTCCTCTGCCTTCCAAAGTGCTAGGATTACATGCATGAGCCACTGTAGCTGGCCCCAAAATTATACTTTTCTATAAACTGCCTGTTTCCTCTCCTTAAATAAAATATAATTGATGTTTTTGAAAGCAGAACCATCTTAGCCTTTGTGTTATTGGACTTTGCAAATAGAAATACTTTTATTTTACAAACTATGAAGAATGAATAAAATAACTAACAATAGACAGACTAGCCAGATATTAAACTCTTTAGTCTGACTCCCACATATTTAGGAATATTTATAATTTAAAAAATTGTATATGAATAGGGAAATTATCATTGAGTCAGTTTATTTATGTTGACAGTAAGTTAACTTGAGGGATTCAGATTGATATGTACTCATTGAGATGTGCAGAATCTTTGTGTTTGCTTTTTCCTTTTAGGAAGCTGCAGTAAAGGAAGATGAAGAAGAAGTTTCAGATAAGGGCAGTGATTCTGAAGAAGAAGAAACCAATAGAGATTCCCAAAGTGAAAAAGATGATGGTAGTGACAGAGACTCTGATAGAGAGCAGGATGAAAAACAAAACAAAGATGATGAAGCAGTAAGCCTTATAGGTTTAAGTAATTGAAATTATACCCTGATGATTGCTTTGGGTTTTATTGTTATTGTTCATTTGCTTGCTTGCTTGCTTGCTTACTTTAAATAATACCTGTATATTTTATAATTTTATTACTTTACGGTTTTAAGGAATGGTAGTCAGAGTTATAAAGAAAAATGTTTTCTAACAAGGATTGGAAATTCTCATTTTCTTAAATATTAAAATTGTTAGGTAGAGTAGGACCTAGGTTTGAGGTTAGGTCAGTTGGTCTCTTAAGAGGATTTTCAGTGTTGGGATCTCTCTGGAAATATGACTAAGGAAAGGTGTTTGTGAAATGGTTAGTGCTTCCTTGGTAGGCTGTCTCACAAGCTCCAGGTCATGTTTAGTGTAGAGAAACAGTACTGTGGACCCTGATGTCAAGAGGTAGGTTAAGGGAAAAGTTAACATTTACAGAATACCACCTTGTTTCCTGGGGTATATAAGATATATTGAGGACAGGGGAAGTCTTTATAGAATTTATTAATATGGTGTGAATGTATAGAATATAGAAGAAAAATCTCCTGGCGTTAAGTTGCACGTGATTTATGGGAGAATTATAGAGAAGAATGTGGTCCTTCGAGCCTCACTGCAAATAAACTGCTGGGCCACATTTCCTTTAGGTTTGTTAGCCTTGTTCTTTTTGAGTGGCCATTGATCTAAAAGGAACGCTGTAGTTTAGGAGAGAAAAAGGGATTGCCTGCATAGCCTCAGAGGCAGAAGGAGAGGCCAGAAAAAGAGGAAGCAGTAAAGGGCAAAGGATAAAAGCATAAGGGATTAATACACTTGTCCTTGGGAATGGGAGAAAACAAATAAAGATGACCGTTGTTAGCATTTGCAGGGCCTTGACTGTTTTTGTACTTGGAGAATTAAATTGATTGCCAGAAGACTAAAATCTGCCAAATAAATTATATCCCTGACCTCACTTTGAGAAAGAATTGACCTATTCCTAAGTATATTAGGGTTAGTAGCAGTGACTCTTGGGGCTTTGACAGACTAGTTTCTTCATATGACCAAGAATAACATTCATTAAATCAACAAATCATTATTTATTATCTGTCACATCCTAAGGCTGTCTTAGAGTAAAGAAATGCAAAGCCAAATGTGAAATAGCTTCAGCTTTTGAATGATAATGCAGGCTAGTGGGGCAGGCAGATTTATAAATAAATATTATAGTACATATGAAATTATATACATCTTATGCAAAGTACTCAAGGAGGGAGTGATCAGTTCAGTCATGAGACAGAAGGAAATTTATGGGAGGCTTTACTCAGGAGTTCATATTTTAGGCTTTAGCTGGTCCTAAAGAATAATGAGTAGGCAGAGAAAGGGAAAAAGTCCGAAGAGGGTTAGGAGGAGTGAAATGGTAAGTTCAGAGAAGTATAGATAGTTTTAAATGACTAGAATAAAAAGCACAAGGAGGAAGGCAGTGACAGGAAACCAAAGAGAGGCAGGCTTGGGTCAGATAATGAACGGCTATGTAGTTGCTACTACAGTGGTTAGATTTAATATATTTAAAAAAGGAATTGTAAGGATGAGCAAGGAGATGATCAGATTTGTGGGACTGAACTTGTTCTAATCCTAAATAGTTAATTAGCATTGTCAGGAATAATATCTGGAAATTCTTTGAAGTGATAAAATACATACTAGATTTCAAATATTTTAATTTTTTTTTTTTTTTTTACTAGGAGTGGCAAGAATTACAACAAAGCATACAGCGAAAAGAGAGAGCTCTACTGGAAACCAAATCAAAAATAACACATCCTGTGTTTAGCCTTTACTTTCCTGAGGTGAGTGATATACAGGCTAGTGTGTTCCTTATTCCATTCACTTTCTCCTCAGGGATTTGTCAGTTGATTTTTATCCCTCTGTCCTGTGTACTAGCTCATATGTGCTAAATGTGGTCTATCCTGAGAGGTCATATTTTTACAGGGAATATTACAATATGTATTACACTTAGTGAACATATTCCTTATAAAAGGGATTGTTAGCTTCTTAAGTATTTCTGTGGTTTTCTGTGCTTCTGTCCTTTCTGTGCCCTGATTACTGTTACTGAGTGTTATGCATAATGGTGATTTCTCGCTAGCAGATTAGGCAGTCTTCATCAGACAAATGAGTATTTTGCCTTTGACCGCTTAGCTGTTGTGAATCTCTCACCCCTGCCAAGTTTTAAATAGGAGGAAAAAATCCTTAAATTTTTCCTCTGAGAGTCCTGCTGGCCACATGGAACCATTAGAATTGCTCTGACCCTGGTCATTGTTGTCCTAGGCCACGGGAAGTGAGTTTATGGCTGTGGGACCAACTGTGTTCTTGGCTCTAATAGACAAAGTTCCATAAGAGCTTGATCATGAGTGAGCCCTGGGCACAGGACAGGTCATTACAGTGCTATTTGTTGCCTTGTCCTTGTTTACTTTATAGTTGTAGCCTGCTCAACTTTCAATCTCCCTGATAGCCTGGGGTGTTCATCTTTCAAATTACCTTGGGATTGCCTTGACATTTTGCATTTGAGTATGATTCCGGCTGGAGCGGAGGTCAAGAACTGGTTCCCTCAGTTCGGAAAACTGTTCCACAGACTGCCTCACAGCTTTGCCACAGAACCTTCTGCTCACCACTTGTGTTTGGCTGGTGATTTCATGTATAAATCTGCTTTCTCCTCGAGAATGTCAATCCAGAGTTTCTGGGGACTGCTTAAGGCAAATTCCTAAATAATTTGGATCTCTTAGTAATAAATGAGTGGTTCTGCACAGACTGTTGTTTTGACTTGGAGAGAAGTCTGCCCAGGATTCCATCTTAATGCACACGCTGATCTTCTGGCATGTCCTGAGCTTTAGTCCATCTGTTAGGGGCATTTTGCCCATTGCAGAGATAGCCTGCCAACACCAGGCATCCTGAAATGAAGCAAGTAAATTCCATTCATTCATTGGTATAAAAAGTGCCTTGGGGTGCTCAGAGCTGCCTACTGTGTACCCATATAACAGACAGTTTCATTTTAGACCATGCATAGTTAATTAATCAGGGAAACATTCATTCACTCCCTCAGAACATTTTTTTAGTGGCCAAGTGCTGTGGCTCATGCCTGTGGTGAAGCTGAGATTAGAGGATCACTTGAGCCCAGGAGGCTGAGGCTGCAGTGATTGTACCACTATGATTATACCACTCCATTCCAGCTTGGATGACAGAGTGAGACCCTGTCTCAAAAAATAAAATAAAAATACCTTTTTCAAATTTAATCTGCATCTGCATGGTAAATATTTCAGAGTATTATTTAGCAGATAAAATTTACTTCGGGCCAGGTGCAGTGGCTCATGCCTATAATCCCAGTCCTTTGGGGGTCCAAGGCAGGTGGATCACCTGAGGTCAGGAGTTTGAGACCAGCCTGGCCAACATGGCAAAACCCTGTCTTACTAAAAATACAAAATTAGCCAGGCATGGTGGCGCATGCCTGTAATCTCAGCTGCTTGGGAGTCTGAGGCAAGAGAATCGCTTGAACCTGGGAGGTGGAGGTTGCAGTGAGCCAAGATTGCACCAATGCACTCCAGCCT